GTCACAGGACAAGGTTCCCCTAGATTCCCTGTGGGACAGAAACGCATCCCACAAAGCATGAATATTAGGAGGCATGACTTATTGGGGACCATCTTTGGAGACTGGCTGCCATGAAATCCACCCCCTCTTCTCCGTCTCCTCTCTACTTGTTCACTGCTCCCACTTTAAATCATTGTCATCTGTAGCTGGGAGGTTTGCAATTATTTTCTAAATAATTCTCCTGCACTGCTCTGACCTCTGCCAGTCTAGTCTCCACATTGTCAAAATACAAATTAAGTTGAAGTTTTACCTGTTTAAACCCCTACAATGAATGACTTTGCTCTTGTACAACATCTCAGATCCTTAAAGCCTCTAAGCCCTCCGTCCAGAACTTCTCTCTAGCCTCATCTTTGCCATCTCCTTAGCCTCTCTGCGGCCATTTTTCCAACCTTCCTTGAGCTCCCTGAACCTGCCACACTCAATTCTCTCCTGGGGCCCTATCACTTGCTGTTCTGTCTAGAACATTTTTCTTCATTTCTTCACCTGACCAAGTGCTGCTCTCCTTTTAGGCCTGAGGCTAGCCTTGACACTTTGGATCAGTCAACACATTATCTATGGCAAAAACAGCTCAAACTGACTCAAGCAAAACGCCATTTATTACCTCATGTAACTAAGCCATTGAGGGATAAAAGTTCAGATGCCAACTAGATCCAAGTGCTTAAAACTGTCATTGGGAATCTGTTTTGCTTCAAGCCTCAGCAATGCCTTCCTCAGACTTGGCTGCTTCTTCAGGCTGGCTTCTCCAACCCTGGCCCTGCCTTCTTGGCCCCGTTCCTTGATGAGCACATTCTGACAGGCTAGGCCAGGTCTTAAGCCTCCCCCAGATGGCAGATGGGACCAGCCCCACACTTACCATGGGATAAGACTGGGGAAAGGATGTTTCCCCAAAGAAAGAATAGGGTTGGTACCTGAAGAAAGGGAAATCATTCTAGGCAGGCAAAAACACCAATGAATTCCCTTTAAATATTTGCTGGTACCCAGGCACGCTTTTGCCTTAAGATCAATGTATAGCTACTTCCTCTGCCTGGAATGCTTTAAAATAATAAAAATAATAATAATAATAACTGGGCTTAGTGGTGCACACCTGTAATCCCAGTGACCTGAGAAGCTAAAGCAGGAGGATTGCAAGTTCTAGCACATCTGGGTAACTTAGCAAGACTTTGTCTCAAAATAAAAAATAAAGACGGCTGAGGATACAGCTTAGTGGTAAAGCACATTTGGGCTCAAGCCTCATACTGTCCCCCCAAAGAAAAAAAAGAAGGGGGAGGGGGAAGAGAGGAGAAGAGGAAGAGAGGAGAAGAAGGTTGATAGAACTGAAGAGCACTTGGAAAAATCACTTCCCTCTCTGGGTCTCCGTTCTCTCCTGTCTGGCTCATGATCTCTGAGGCTCTTGGGCTTTGATATCATCTGCCAATCTCTCTATACATTGCCCTGTGGAATTAGGGGTGATATTTGTGGTCTTTCATCAGAAAGTAGAATATGTGGCTGTTCTCCTTGTTCTTGCAAGCATAGATGAGAAGTGTTTTCAAGTCTGGGGTTACTGCCTCCCTGCCTCTTAGTTTGGGAACTAGACAAATGTGGATTTCTGTCTAAAGTTGCCACAACCTAGAAGTTCTATGACTTTAGCAATTTGCTTCAGCTTTCTGAGTCTTCACTGTCAACTAGGATCTGTTAGGTCTTCTTCGGGGGATTATTGAGAAGAGTGTTCTAGAACAACCCAGTCCTAGCGTATGAAGACCAGACCCCAAGTGCCATGACACTGAAGAAAGAGAGGCAGACAGCTCCAGGATTGCACAGAGTGTCATTTATCAGGGGACTTCCTAACAAAAGCATGGTCCTGGGAGGCAGCAAGACCAGTTGGATCCCTGAAATTTGGGTTGGAAAGTGGGGCACATTTATGGGTTAGGACAAAAATGACTTCACCTAGCTGGAATATACCTGGTTTACCTTAAGTTAATATCAAAGAGACAGGGCACATCCCTAGAGCTGGGATCTAGATGCAAAGCTCCATATACCACTTAGATGGTTTCATCTACTTGTACTGTACTGAAAACTATACACAAAAAACAATTTAGGGTTATTTTAGGACAATCTTGGCAGTTCCAACTCAGATGGCTACAGTTATGTCAAGAAGAATCCATACAAAGAGAAAATAAAAACACACATGCTAAGCACTTTGCATACAACCTGGCAATATAAAGTATTCCAAAAATAGCAGAATGTTACTAGCTTCTAAGCCCTGGGTAGATTCCTGCTGCAGCTGAGGACATATGGGCAGGGGCCAGGAGCATTTCTGAAGTCCTCTCTGCCCAGCCAGTGTGTGCCCAGGCCTCATGTGCAGCTATTGTGGGGCTGTTGAGTAGGCGAGGTCTGGGTCTATTTTGGAGGCACTAGTTCCTGATGTCTAGACAGAGCTCTCAGCCCCTTGTCTCTCCACCTCAGAAACTGAGCCCAGAAGTCTGAGTCACCAAAAGCACTTGAAAAACCCTGGGGAAAACCATCTGAGCAAATAGTGCTTTAAATATATTTTCCCCATATGTTTAGTCTATTAAAATATTATATTATCATTTTTTTCTACATAACATATAACCCCAAAACTTATGACTTAAAAAAAACAAACATTTTTAAAGTCATCATACTATAGTGACACATGCATATCCATATTTACAGCAGCACAATTCGCAATAGCAGAACTATGGAACTAGGCTAGGTGTTCAATGGATGGATGATAAAGAACATGTGGTATATATACATGATGGAGTTTTACTCAGCCATAAAGAAAAATGAAATTATGTCATTTGCAGGAAAATGGATTGGACTAGAGATCATGATGTTAAGTAAAATAAGTCAAACTCAGAATGTCAAGAAACCACTGTTTTCTCTCACATGCAAAAGCCAGAGAGGAAAAAGCAAAATAAAGATGGAGGCAGATCTCATGATAATCAAAGTGAGATCAGGAGAAACAGGAGGCAGGAGGGAGGGAGGGGAGAAGTGCTGGGGAGTGATATTGGCCAAATTATATTGTTATATCATGTACATGTATGAATACTTAACAACAAAGCCCATCATTATTTACAAAAATAATTAAATTTTTTAATGCACCAATTAAAAATGTGGGAAACACATTTATTATCTTCCATGGTCAGGAATCTCATGAATTTGTGTTCAAGCAGTCAGATAGGATTGCAGACATCTGAAGTCTTCACTGAGTCCAAAGGATCCACTTACAGGCTGTTGGCAAGAGGCTTCATGGCCTCTTGGACCTTTCTATAGGAATGTTCAACATATGGCCTTCTCCACAGTAAGTGGAGAGACAGAGAGGTGAAGAGAGGACTGTAGTATCTTCTACAACCTAATCTCAGATGTGACACCCCATCACTTCTACCATATCCTACAGGCCAGAAACCAACCTGATAGATTATGTTGGGAAAATGATTGATGTGGTGGGGTTTTACACAAGAGCATACAGACCAGAAGGTGGGGGCCATTGTGGGGTATTTTGAAAGCTGCCTGACACATATAATTTACATATGATGAAATTCATCTTAGGTATACAGTTTGATCAGTTTTAACTGAATATTCTGACATAACCCATACTTGTATTGAGGCTCAGACAAACTTAATGCCCCTTCCCAGTCAATCCCCTTTTATTCCAAGAAACTACTTACTTTGTTTCTATCCAATATATCCCATAGTTTTACCTGGTCTAGAATGCAATGAAACTGGAGTCATCCACTGTGTCTTCCTTCTTTCATGTTCTGTAGGACAACTTGAGATTCATCCATGTGATGGAAGTTTCAATGGTTCATTCCTTTTTATTGTTGAATTTTGCACTCCCACATTTGTGTAATCTTAACCCTTATTAAATGTACCTTATAACATGATACCTGTAAGTTAACTCCTCATGTTTCTCCTCCTATCAGACTGAGATCAACTCAAGGACAGAAGTTGTTTTGCTTTTATTCTGGGTCCCCAACATGAGATCAGTACCGGGCAGAATGTAGGTGCTAGGAATGCTCATTCTGTCCTGGGACTTGGGAAAGCAGCATGCTAGGAAAGAGTGGTCAGCAGGTAGTCAGGGGCAGGCTGAGCACCAGCAGGAGTTGAGCAGCAACAGGCCCCACGAGCTCAGGGGGATCTCCAGAAGTTCTAGGACAACAAACAGAGCAGGTGGTGAGTCCAGGGCCTTCATCTTGGGATTAGCCTTCTGGCCACTGGAAAGCTCACTGACTGAAGACAAGTCTGAAAATAAAATAAAAATCTATTCTCCCCCTCTTGTTTCTCCTCCCCTTTCACCCAAAGCGTGCATCTGAAACTAGCCCCAACTCTCATGCAGAGTTTTTGTTTGTTTCAGTTTTTTAAAAATTTTTTCACATTTTTAATTGGTGCATTATAGTTGTACGTAATGGTGGAATCTGTTGCTATATATTCATACATGCACACAGTATAACAATCTAAACTGGCCAACATAATTTGGCCAATATCACTCCCCAGCACTTCCCCTCTCCCTCCCCTTGATCCCTTTCCTTTACTGATCCCTCCTCACCTTTCTTTTCCCCTTGCCTCTCTGGCTTCTGCATATGAGAGAAAACATATGTCTCTTGACCTTCTGAGTTTAACTTATTTTGCTTAACATAATGATCTCTAGTTTCATCCATTTTCCTACAAATGACAGAGTTTCATTTTTCTTTATGGCTGAATAAAACTCCATTGTGTATATATACCACATTTTCTTTTTTAATTAAGTAACTTATTTATTTTACAGTAGAATGCATTTTGACATATAGCACACAAATGGAGTACAGCTTCTCATTCCTTTGGCTGTACATGGGTGCAGTCACTCCAGGAGTGTAATTATATATTTATAATATATATATATATGAGAGATAATAATGTCTGTCACATTATATTGTCCTTCCCATCCCCACAACCCCAACCCCACCCCTCCCCTCATTCCCATCTACGCAAACCAAAGTTCCTTCATTCTTCCCCTATCCCTCTACCCCACTATGGATCAGCATTGCTTATCAGAGAAAACATTCAGCTTTTGGGTTTTGGGGATTGGCTTATTTCACTTAGCATAATATTCTCTAGTTCCATCCATTTACCTGCAAATGCCATAATTTTATTTTATTTAAGGCTGAGTAATATTCCACTGTGTATATGTACCACATTTTCTTTATCCCTTCATCTGTTGAAGGGTATCTAGGTTGGTTTCATAGTTTAGCTATTGTGAATTGAACTGCTATAAACATCCATGTGGCTGCGTCACTGTGCATGCTGATTTTAAGTCCTTTGGGTATAAACCAAGGAGTGGGATAGCTGGGTCAAATGGTGGATCCATTGCAAGTTTTCTGAGGTATCTTCATACTGTTTTCCAGAGTGGTTGCACCCCTTTGCAGTCCCATCAGCAATTATACCACATTTTCTTTATCCATTCCTCCACTGGTGGACTCCTAGGTTGGTTCCATAATTTGGCTATTGTGAATTATGCTGCTATAATCATGGATGTGCATGTATCCTATGGTATGATAACTTTAATTCTTTAGGATAAATATCTAAAGGAATGGCATAGCTGGGTCATATGGTGGTTCCATGCCTAGTTTTTTGAGGAGTCTCTGTACCGATTTCTATAGTGTTGTACTAATTTATGATCCCACCAACAGTGTAATAGTGTTTCTTATTCTTCACATCCTCTCTCTAGCATTTATTGATATTTGTATTCTCAATGACTGCCAGACAGGGTTTAAGGTCCTACCTCCGGTAAGTAGCTCCCTCCTCCCCTCTCACACTGCTCACTCTGGCCTCACCCTTGGAATGACCTGAGGAAACCAGGGCTGAAGCTCCTATACTTTCAGGCTTTCTGAAATCCCAGAAAACCTAGAAGGTTGAAAAAGAGGTCAGAACTAGCATCGATTCCCTCCTCCACCACCTGGCAGCTATGGACCTTGGTCCTCTAGATCCCCTCTGTGAAATGGACTTATAATTCCTAGCTAAGAAGGTAGGTGCAGGACTCCTGGAGGTGAAGGGCTAAGTACAGTGACTGGTAGAGAAAGAGTGAGGTGGCTTGGTGGGGTGAGATGCCGAATGGGATCTTCCCTGTTTTTCTAGAAAGGTAGAATTTGTAGCAGAGTCAATAACTGAGAACAAAAGGCAACAAGTACCCATTTTCCAAGCCCAAAGCACTGCTGGCTCTCCTCAGGACTTGACAGGAAGAGCCATTTCAGCAGAATGAGCCTTACTCCCAGTTCTAGAAGTGTGCAGGGCTTATGAAAAGAAGCCATCTGTCCCTCTGTTCCTGAGAGGCAATGCAGAGAACAATGCATTGGGTTTTCTTCCCAGGGCCGGGCAGGTATGGCTGTATTGTGCAAAGATGGCTCTGAAATCTTTTCCATTCCATTTATTCTTCTGCAACTTGACCTTCTCATTCCTGCATCAAGAGAACAAGTCACATTCTCCTCCCTTGGGTATGGGCTGGCCTAAGTGACTCACTCCTGACCAAAAGCATGCTGCAGAAGTTACTCTGTTTTACTTCCAAGCCTAGTTCAAAAGAAACTTGCTACTCCTTTGAAGCTCAGTCTTTTGGAAGGTCATTTTATGGAAGCTCCCTCTTGGAACCCAACTGCCATGACTAAAAAAAAAAATCCCAGTTATGTATTCCCACCAGGTGACAGTCCCAGCTCAGGCATCATACATGTGTGTGAAGTAACCTTCAGGTGATTTCAGCCCTCAGCCATCTGAGTGTTTCCAACTAAGCCCCACACCACAAGGAGCAGTAGATCCTTATCTACTGCTACACAATAAATTACTTTAAAATGCAACTACTGAGCTGGGTACCGTAGCACATGCCTGTTATCCAGCAGCTCAGGAGACTGAGACAGGAGGACGAGTTCGAAGCCAGCCTTAACAAAAGCAAGGAGCTAAGTAACTCAGTGAGACCGAGTCTCTAAATAAAATACAAAATAGGGCGAGGATGTGGCTCAGTGTTCGAGTTCCCCTGAGTTCAATCCCCAGTACCCACCCCCCCACACACTAAATGCAACTGCTTAAAACAACAACAACAACAAACAAAAAAAAAACATGTATCAACTCACACAGTTTCTGACAGACAGGAATCCAAGAGTGACATATCTGGGTGATTCTGACTCAGGGTCTCTCGCAAAGTTTTAGTCAAGCTGTCGGCCAAGACTATAGTCATCCAAGTTTTCTCCAGGGCAGAGAATCCATTTCAAGCCCATTCACATGGATTGGCAAGACGCCTCAGTTCCTCTCCAGATGGGCCTCTCTACATGTGACCATCCTCAAATGTGACAGCTGGCCTCTCCCAGAGTGAGTGATCCAAGGGGCAGAGAGTCAGAAGCCACAATATTTTTTATAATCTAGATTCAAAAGCAACATATAGAATAACAGAAGTTTTCTATTGTTTTAATAAAATACTTGAGGCTGGATGCATTTTAAAGAAAAGAGGTTATTTAGCTCATAGTCTTAAGACTGAAAGTCCCAAATAAGGCAGCCCCATCTGTTTGACTCCTGGTGAGGGTCTTAGCAGGGTGGGAAAGAGACCACATGGTGAGACCTGAAACCAAAGGGATTGAGGGTCCAGGGTTATTCTCTATAACAACTCCTTCTTGGTAGAACTCACTCAGTCCACAAGACCAGCACTAAACCCTTCTCAGGGCAATGTCCCTGTGACCTAATTATCTTCCACTAGATCCCACCTCTTAAAGGTTTCAACACCTCCACATAGGGGCCCAAGCTTCTGGCACATGAACTTTTAGGGGATACACTCAAATCATATCCAAACCATAGCACATAATATTACCTCCTCCATATTCTATTGGTCACACAGACCAATACAATGTGGGAGGAGACTTCATAAGGGCATGACTACCAGGAGGCAGGAGTCCTGGGAGCTATTTTGGAAGCCACCTACTGAAAGCAGAGACCAGCCATCCCCCCTATGCCTAGCTAAATTCCTGACTCAGACTCTACAAGCATGATGAAATAGAGGTTGTGTTATGCCACAACGTTTGGGGTATCTGCTATACATCTAGATAACTCGGAAGAAGTCAGGTGAATTATTCATTGGGTTTGAGGAGCCACCAGAGGGCGTCTGGCTTCTCATTCCTTGTCTGTTGAGCAACTGACTTCACCTGCCAACCTGCCTTGGTGCTACTGAAACAGAGGAAAGGGCATTGGAGAGAATGTCAAGGATGTGACTAAGTGGCAAGAGGGCAAAGAAAATAGAAAGATGGATTTCACCAGGTCCACAGGCCCCAGGGCTGGGGCTGCAGAGTAGATGCAATAGGGGTGACTGGGCCTGCTGGGGGCAGAGGTGAGCTGTGAAGGGAGAACCAGAGGAGGCTTGCCAACCGAGGACTGCTTAGCACCACGCCCTTTTTCAGCTTGGTCTGTGGGGATATCCCACCCACACCCTGCTACACACACACACACACACACACACATACATGCTGTGTCTATAGACAATGATCCAGCAGCTGTGATGACTCAGGTCCAGAACAGTTACCTCGAAAGCTGTGAGGAGGAAGGGGTCGACCAAGGGCCAGCCAAGGACACCTAGAGAAACAAGTCCCCTTTATTTCCTTCTAGTCCCTGCCCACCAGAGGGCAGGACAGAAAGAGCAGACCACACCTACTTCCTCTCCAGCCACAAGCCCTGCCTGCTGGACTTTGAACTAAAGGGAGACTGACCTTCAAAAATGCAAAGAGTGGTAGAAAAGTTGTCAGACACACAGGAGGCCCTTGGTTTGATCCCAGGGAAGAAAGAAAATGGAAAAACGAAATATAACCTGAAATAATAAGCTCCATTAGTAACTAAAACTCACTGAAAAGCTTTAGAACCCATTGGAGATGTCATCAGGGAGCCCAATGTCCAGAAATAGGGTCTGACGGATTACGATGGATAGAAATCTTTCAAAAATCTCTTTGATGTTTAGTTGAAGCTGTTGATATTCTTAAACTAGTTCCAAGAATCGTCACTATCATTGTCCTTAGCTCCTCCTCTTCCACCTCATTCGTTCATTCACTCACAAGCATTTATTATATGCTGGGCATTGTGTGTGGCACTGTCCCCAGGATTATGTGGTGAGCAATACAGACTTAATCCCTGTCCTCATGGAATTTATGGCCTACTTGGGAAGGGAGATGTTAAACAGCCAGTCTCATAAGCACAGAGTTTCTGTCCATGATAAAAACAGTTAATTAGAAGTATAGTCAAATGGTAGCCATGTCCTGTACAATTAATATCCAAATATCTCCTAAGCCTTTGCCATTTCTCTGCCTTTGTGTAGCCTCGATGTCTCTCATTTGGGTTGTTTCCTTAGCTCTGATTTCTTAACATCCAGCCCACTCTCCATTTTCCCCCAGAGACAGAGTTCCAAAAGGCAACTAGAATCGTCACTCCCTGAAGCATCTCAACTCAAAACCTTTCCAATGGCACCTATATCTTAAGATTAAATCCAAGCACCTAAACCCAGCACCTAAAGTCCTTCAAGATGTAGACACTGACAGTCTAGTTTCTCGCCCCATCTCTTGCCCCTCTTTGGTTTACACCCTATGCTTTTGGACTACAGTATTAATCCCTTCTCAGGGATAAATGACACACTCTGACCCCCACCCCAGGGCTGTTTTCCCCTGCTAAATACTCCCTTGGCTTTTTGTGCTGACTTTTCTCGTGTCTGTTATAATCTAAATTTCATGAGGACAAAGATATTCCCCCATCTCATTTATACTAACTGTCCAGTCCCTAGCATAAGAGGAGAGCTCAATAAATAAGCAACAGATGGAATGAATGAATGAATAATGAATTAGCCAACAGGCCTCACTTATTGCAATGTCTTAGCACCCTGTGCTCACTTGCTTTCTTGTCCCCAGCCTTTGACTGAATTCCCTGACACAGGGACCACAGAGCTCTGACTGCCAGGCAGAGTAGGCACTCAATAAATATTTTTCTAGGAGTGCTTCCAACCCAGTGCCCTCTGCTCTGCATTGTCATTTTCCAATAGAACTTCTGGTTCCTTCTGCAAGCGTTTTCTGACAGGCCATGCCTAATTGCAACATTTCCCAACTGAATGTGTACTTGTTGTGGCAAAGAGTCTTTGCTTGGCCACATTAGTCAGGCTTCTGAATCTCATGAGGCCCACCTGTGCACTTCCCTGTAAAATCCAGTTTTATTAAAGAACCTGGCTATCAGCTTATCAAAAACTCACCAGTCCTCATTATCTGATATGATCACTCTGGCCCATCTTCAGCAAGAACCCTGTTAGGAGGGTTTAGCCAGAATCCCACTAACTGTTGTCTCCTCTTGATAGTTTTCTGTCCACTGACCCTGACACTGATCCCTATAAATTCCCACTGGTCTCTGCTGTGTTTGGCGTGGAACTCAGTCTCTCTCCCCCACTGTACGACCTCATTGCAGGAGTCCCTACACCTGTCACAGAGGTCCTGAATAGACTGCCTTACTGTGCTTTAACTAGTATCACTGAATAATTTTTCAATTAATAAGAACATATTATAATAATGTCATAAGCCTTTCTCTGGAAGGCTGGCAACTTTTTATGGAAGTGAGCATTTGGCCACAATGACCTCAAAATGAAAGCGGAAAGACTTGGCTGTTTCAGGTGACTTGGCTTAGCCGGTTCCTTAGAAAACCACATCATTTTGCTGTGGTTTGGATGGCAGATGGACAATAATCATGTTACAAAGACTGGAAAGGGGTACCAAATCAGGTGGATTTGTGAACCCCTAAAAGGGCACAGAAGGAGGCGAGCTGTCTTCCAGGTGGTAGTGAGTTGGTAGTAGTGTGGGTAACTGGAACTCCATGTCTGCAGAGCCACTGGAACTCAAAGCCTGTATCTCTACTCATCAAAGTAAGCAGATCTTGATCCACTTGATGGGAGGCCTTTGTCTAGTCTCTACTCTGACCCTAATGAGGGATAGATAGGATGGGACAGGTTTGGTTGCTGTAATAAACAATTATGAAAATATCAGTTAGCTTCAAACCACAAATTAAAGTCTTTGACTATACTATATGCTCATTGGAACTGACTCTGGGGCTCTGTTCAATGAAGTTTCTCAGAGACGTAGGCTGACAGAGGTTCCATCTCAACACAGGTTTCCATGACTGCAGAGGGTAGGAAAAGAAAACACATGAATCCTCACCAGGCTCTCTAAAGCTTCTGTCCTGAAGGGGCATGCATGTCACTTGCTCATGTCCCATTTGCTAAAGCAAGCCATAAGCCCTCACCTAAGTTCAACAGGACAGGAAATATAATATCCTCCCAACCAGAGAGACAGCAAACATTAGTAGAAAGTAGCACAGTCCACCAGAAAAGAAACTGCTACGTGGCGGGAGATTTTACTAGCTGTGTGATTTTAAGCAAGCCAATTGGTCCTACAGAGCCTCAGTTTCCCCATGTATAAAGCAGGAAAAACAGTATTTCTGACATAGCAAGAACATTGGGACCACTCAGTAAAACTGTATAGTAGGCTGAACACAGGTCTGGTAAATAAAATTACGGATGAGTTGCCACAAGGCAAGAGTACATGGGAGCTCTGGAGACACTCCTTCAACTGAAATTGCTCCCTTGATGCCAACTCCAAGGGGCTTTTCTCATTCCTCACCTTTGACTCCTCCACGAGGGCAGATTGTTTTTATTCTTCAATATTCACTGCTTCTCCAGCAGAGCCCCTCCTTGTGGATGAACTATTTTACTAGCCCCCATTGACATCAGTTTAGCCATGAGACTTGCTTTGGCAAATAAAATGTGAGTACATGTGGCCTGTGCCACATCTATGACCTGTGCCTCTTCTGGGCAGAAGCTTTAAGAACCAATGCACAATCTAATCATTATCCTTTTCCAGTGCTGTGCTGGTAAAGGTTCAACAACCAGCTCTCTAAAGGGAAAAGTATTTGCTGATATCCATAGAATAAATACTCTCACCATGACTGATTTCAAGTCACTAATGTGACATCATTGAGCATGGAGTTGGGAAGAGCTGTACACTACCAAGTATCTTTTCCTTTCTCCTGAGAACAGCATTGTTCTAGATAATTGGAAGTTGCTTCTTTGGCCTGCATCCCTGATATACAGCAGAGCCATCACTGAACAGCTGCTGATATCTATCCCTTTCTGTAAACTGAGATTTGGGGGTTATTTGTCACTGCAGCATAACTTAGCTGAAACTGACTAACATACTCCTTGAAACTCTTTTTTTTTTTGGCTTTGATGACACTTCTTCTCCATCATTTCAATTACAAATATCTATCAGCACCCACTACATAGGAAAAACAACATTAGCAGAGTGGGTACCATCCAGGACAAAGAGACATACCACTAAACCTGTAGTTTGGCTCTGGCACTTACTGGTATAATATTGGACAAGTTACTTAACCTCTCAGTTCTTAAACTTGTTCATCTATAAAACGGGACTAATAATAGACCAACCTCATCAAGTTGTCATGAGGATTGTATGATTTAATATATATAAAGCACTTAACACAGTACCTGGCATCAAATAACTTTTATTATTATTACTAGCTGTCAGGTTCCAAGCTAGGGGTAGGAGATCTAGTCAGGACACCTCTGCTCTTGGGAGTTCATTTATAATCTGAGGCTACACACAGATATGGAGAACAGAAAACCACAACAAATTATGATAAATGCAAGAAAAGAGGGGTAAACTTTGAGATCCAGAGTATCAGGACAACTAACTTGGAACATGAGGCTGTGGGCCTGGTGCCCAGGAAGGTTTCACAGAGATGGGATATTTTTAAAAGACTTTAAGAAATGAATAAGAGTTTTCCAAATGAAAAAGGGAGTGGTGGGTAAAATGAAGTTGTAGGTTTTTCCTCATGACTCTCTAATCTCTCCCTGACTCCTGTGCCAGCCACCTCTTCCCACTCAAGGTTTTAATCTTTATTCTTCTCTTGTTTTTGCTTTTCATTTTGTTTCATTCTTTGTAGGACTGGGGATTGAACCCAGGGGTACTCCATCACTGAGCTACATCCTCAGGCCTTTTATTTATTTATTTTATTTTGTGATCCTAAGGATTGAACCCAGGGGAGCTCTGCCATTGAACCACATGCCACATTTTCTTTTTTTAAATTTTAAGACATGGATTTGCTAAGTTACCCAGGCTGGCCTGGAACTTGGGATTCTCCTGCCTCAGCCTCTCAAGAGGGTAGAATTATATGTGTGTGCCACTGCACCAGGCTACTTCATGGTTTTGATGCAGGTAGCAATGTTAACATGTATTGAGTGCTTACCATAAGTAGGGCACTATGCTAAATACTTTATATTCACTATCTAATTCTACATTTACTATGATATTCTGAGGTAAGTACCACCAACATGACTTTGCTAAGAAACACTGAGGCCCAGCAACATTAGATGACTTGCAGTGTCACATAGGTATTTTTAACAGCAGGTACCCAAATATTCAAATAAATGTGGTTTGAATATTAGGGATTTATCTCTCATCATAGGAAGTCTGGAAGAAAGTGATACCTAGGTTAATTGAACAGTTCAGTAATATCAGATCCTGAGTCTGTCTCTCTTTGAGTCTCTGGCTCTCCCTTCATGGTCC